GATTGTCAATGTTCTAGTAATTTCAGAACACCTTGATTATCTTTGTATCGACTTTTTTGAGACCTCGTTTAAGAGCAAAGCAGTCGAACACAGTGTTATTGCTGTATGCTTTTTACCTTCCTAGAGCAATCGACTGCAAATCACCGCAATGTCAAGTGATCCTTTCACTTGACGTGCACTGATGCATGTTCGGCGGCGCTACCGTTAGTTACAGGAGTGAATCGAAAGGTACGCGCTACTGATGAGGTTTGGGAGAATAAAGCTAGATATACGCATTAGACATAGAGATGCCATATATAAATTAAGTCACGATCTGCGACTTCCCCAGATAAGAATCGTCTTGTGGGTTAGGATATGAAATGTTGAACAATTTGGCTCCACACAGTAAATAGGCAGACGGCCATTACCTGATGTCTAGGCTCAATAAATAAAAAACTGATAGATGATCTGTATAACATTTGAGATAAATGGAGTGCACTACTAAAGTTAACCGGAAAAAATAACTTCAATAAATTTAAGTCAAAAAAGTCCACAAACTGTTTCAGAAGGATGGCACTTGCCGTTAATAGCACCTAATGACAAACGACCTTTCCGTCTCCGGAGACACATTTCTCTAATTGAGGATTTTTCTCTAGAAATGCTGTAGAAGTGAAATTTGCTCCACAGCTTCTTAAAAAAAGTATTGATGGTAATGGTTGGAAGAAATAGGCCTAAAGTAAAACTTTTGTATTAAAAAAAGGAGGTCGTTCTGCTTAATAATCACTTTTGAATAAAGCAAAGAACAGGTTTAAGCGATGAACCGCGGATCTACTAACTACAAATCCTTGACCTGATCGGCCGATGTACCAATCATAGGGATTTATTCCACTCACCGCAAAGGGTGTCGCACTGAATATATCCTACTGAGAGCAAAATGAATCTTTGAGATACTGAGGCGTCAAATCAGTGTTATCCTCTCAAGCATGATTACCAGTTTTTCCACTACGGTGTGATGATGTTAGCAGCTCACACTGTGGAACTGAACTGGCGACCAACATCATGTGTGACGAAACACCTCTAAAGCCCCAGGTACGCCTGATTACGTTGAGATAAATTTAAAGCCGATTTTCCTTCAACTACGGCATTGCCGATTAATCACATATTCTTTCTTGATTAAACGAAGAGCACGGAGAAGCTAATTCATTCGGCTGAGATTCAGACGCGTTCCGTATCCTTAGAGCCAATTGCTCGAAGCCGATGCTCCACAGTCATTCGCCCTCGTTGTGACTTGTAGTTTGAGCTGGACCTCTTCGGATGAGCTCCGCTCAAATGAGAACCTCACCCAGCAGTGCTTTTTTAAATAGGGCGGTTATTGATAATACCATAAGGCTATGATAATTTGAAAATGTGTCAATTGCTAGGGATTAATATATTAACTGGTGCAGGACGAAATGTCCATTAAAAAAAGAAATTTTCAACGGACTATCAGTATCATTGAGAAACACAATGTACATAGGGAGCACTACCGAATGAGGTTCTCATTTGAGCGGTGCACCTCTAAGAAGGGTCAGATATGAAAGACAGCGATAGCTTCAAGAAGGACAAATGACTGTGGAGTATTGACTCGATTTAGTTGGATCTGAAAAGACGAAAAGCGTCGAAACGTCAGACAGATAAGCAGATTCTTGCTCAACTTCGTGGTTTCTGCTCAATCAAGATGAAGACCTGTGCTAAGGTTTTAGAAAAAATCACGATTGATCAGAATTTGGTATTTTAATCAAGGAAGCGAGTCTGGACTTGTGAACCGTAACCCAGCTCAGACTCGCAAGCGACGACCTCTTGCACTAGAGAAAAACGGATAGACGTCGGACAGCACTGAATAACGAGGCTATACATCCAATTCAATCTAGATAAGGGCAAAAAAAAGCTTAAGAAAAAAGAGAAAGAAAAAGGAAAAAGATTTCTGCCATCTTCAACTCTGTAAAAGAGATAAACTCAAATTTGGAGAGAATCTCTGCATTATATCGATTTGTACACTGTTAGAGAAACATCCTGAAAGTTTCAAAAATTAGAGAAAATTGTAGCCTAACTACGAAAGACGAGACGAAAACTACATATTCGACGAAATGTCCTGGGGAGAAGGACATTAGTCGACGCGTGCCGTCATTATTTATAATGCCGAAGCCTTATTATTGATGAACGATACTCTTGAGAGAAACATGTCCGTTTTCACAAATACATATCCTTTTTAGAATCTGAAAAACCTACTCCAGCGTCGGCACAGAATCCACTATAGTCAATCACCGGTTTGACTCCAGAACGTACGATATGTACACCACTAGGCACGTAAGCTCTTCAAACCACTTCTTAGCCTTCTTTATCCCTTTCAAAGTCTTTATCCATTCTGTGAGCCGAACAATATAACGGCGATATTAAAAATCAGTTCACCGTGTTGAACCTGACTACTGATAATAAAAGCAGAGCTGATTTAAATGTGACGCTGTGACTGGACTAGAAGTTGCTCTAGGCGTTGATCAATCCCAAGGAGATGCACCATGCATTCATGTTCAAATTTCACTTCGTCTGAGGTTATTTAATGCATATCTGGCCTTTACAATGACTCGCGGTGGCCTTCCGCTGAACCGAGTCAGTGTCGCTTATCCTCCCAGACAAGTCTAAGGCATCTCTGGTACCAACTCACCGACCCCGGATAAATGGATGGCTTGGTGAGCATAAGCGCGAGATCAAACCGACGCAGAGCACCTCGAGCCACCGCGCCACATGTGTTTCGTCCTTTATATCGCAAAATTCAGAATGAGCTGTTCGAAGAAGACGTGCAGAATTATATGAATAAACACGGGTTAACTAACCAGAAAAGCCGTCAACTGATGCTTGTTAAAAGTGGCGAAGAAAAGTGAACTGGGCATAGACATAACAATGCTTTCAAATGAAGGCTGAATAACAGATCACTTTTTTCTGACGCAACGGGGAAGCTTGTTGCGTTTTTTACAATTTTTCAATTACTAGCATTTTGTCGATAGCCCCAAAAAATACGATATATCATCACCCGTTGTATTCATTTGATCGTTTTGTTATTTAAGGAAGATATAATACTCCGAAATCCTAGTATTTTTACTGCTTTTTCGCAGTGTTATGATGTTACTTTTATACCTAAGAGGATTGAGTGGTGAGCAAGAGCATGGCCTCAGCCGGGAATTGAACCCGCGTTTCATCCTATCGGGGACGCATGCTCTACCACTACACGATCGAAACACATTTGCCCAACCAGTTATTCTTCAGCATTTCTATGTTAGCTATCAGCCACCAATTTAACGTTTGGTTGGGTATGCGACTTCGCTTTATAAACCCAGTTGAGCTGACAGCCACTGTTAGATATAAATATAATGTAACAATGCACATATATATGTAATATATAATATAGATATTAATGATGTTTTTGCTCGCCACTCAATTCTCTTGGGTATATGTAACTTTATAGCACTGCGAAGACGCAGTAAAAATACTGTAATTTCGGGGTGTTATACCTAACAGTGGCTGCCAGCTAGCTCAACTGGGTTTACAAACCAAAATCGCATACCCAACCAAACTGTTGAAGGTTGGTGGCTGACAGCTAACATAGAGATGTTGAAAAATGGTGGTGGCGCAAATGTGCCTCGGTGGTCTAGTGGTAGAGCACGCGTTACCGGAAAGGATGAAACGCGGGTTTGATTCAGGGCTAAGGGCAAGTTTTTGCTCACCACTCAGTTCTCATAGGTAAATAAAGGAAGAGTTGCGCTGGGTTTATTCCCTTTTGAAGACCACGATAACCTTCCCTTGATCCGGATTCGGCTTCGGTAAGGCTTGGGCACTTCATATCCGCCCACTACACTGAAGACTTTTGGTCTTCGGTTTTCCATACCCATCAGACATCGCAAAGCGATCGACAAATGAATCGTATTATCACCATAGAAGGAACGGAAGGTGACTCAACATTAATTATAACAATTCTCTTACTACTAATTATCCGACAGCGATACTGACAAAGATTTTCTTTCCATAGCAGTACTTTCTGGATTTGGAACGTTGATAATTGTCTCCATGCCTTTGTGTAGTGTTCAAAAAATCAGCTTCATCAACGCTTGCTAAATTACCATGGTTTTTCAAGGTAAGAATACTCCGATCTCTATTGTTGCAGTTCGATGCTATTGTTAAAATAGTTTCCTATGGTCATAATCTAAATCGGTGTGAATTCGATGTCAAGAAAGTGTAAGTGCTAAACAGATAATCGATAAGTATGCCTATAATTACTATAAGGTATTTTCCTTGAATGACCAGTAATGATTCAATGCGAAGTGTATAGCGTGATCTAGAGCGACAAAATGCGTCATTACCTTTCCAACGTTCAAAAATTACGTTCGCCATTCCGTACATCATGTAAAAAACTCTGTCTTGATTAACTATTTACTACAAAGTGTGGAAGACTAGGCTTGTGCAGAGTTTCATTCAAATGCGCACTGTACTTGCGCAGAAATTTATTGAATTTCTATTCATTCACGGATAGTAATAGGTTGGGGAAAAAGTTTGAGAAAATGCTTGCAACTTTTTTGGGTGTCAGTCATTTTTTGTGTTTTTTTTTTGGCTCATTTGAAAGCTCGTCTTCTTCCGCGTTGATTGGTATATAAATCATCTACTTGTATAACTAGAGAATTGAGTGGCGAACAAAAACACGGCCTCAGGCGGGAATCGAACCCACGTTTCATCCTATCCGGGGACGCGTGCTCTACCACTACACCACTGAGGCACATTTGCCCGACCACTCATTCTTCAACATCTCAATGTTAGCTATCAGCCACCAACCTTTGACAGGTTTGGTCGGGTATGCGATTTCGCTTTATAAACCCAGTTGAGCTGATAGCTATTTGAATTACTATTACTTCGAAATTATAGTTAATTCACTGCTTTTTTCGCAGTGTTATTATGTTACTTATATAACTAGAGAAATGAGTGGCGAACAAAAACAAGGCCTCAGGCGGGAATTGAACCCACGTTTTATCCTATCCGAGGACGCGTGCTCTACCACTACACCACTGAGGCACATTTGCCCGACCACTCATTCTTCATCTACTTGTTTCACTTGACATTCATCTACTTGTTTCAAAACGGAGTTAGCAAGCCAGCCCCAAGCCAGATTGATGCACTTGCCATCGTTGCATTTGAACCCAACAGCCATTTGTGCATCATCAGCAATGTAATTTGTTCGTTTGTTAACTCCATCTCGAAATTAGCAGATAAATTATAAACAAATCAACGCTGGAGAAGACGGGCTTTCAAATGAGTCCAGAAACACAAAAAATGGTCGACACCCAAAAAAGTTGCAAGTTATTTCAGAAATTTTTCCCCAACCTATTACTTGTGAAGTACGAAGCACCAACAACTAACAAGAAAATGAGAATTAGTCAATCTGAAGGTATGTTCTCACATCAGCAGCTTCTTGGTATGGAAGAATTTCGCAAAGAGAGTGATGTTGCAGTAGAATATGATGATGAGAACTGGGAGAGATGGAAACGAGAGACAAGAAATGAGGTCGAAGTGGTTTGAAGTTTATATTGTCACGAACAAAAAATAAGGGTTCACACCATTAGGCCTGCCTCAGCGTTCTGTCTTTATCTAGAGGCACAAGTTCGTTTTGAGCGACACTAATGACTTTCTGAGCCGATTGAAATCGTTTTGAAAACACACCAATTAGGGACGGATTCAGAAGAAAAACAAAATGAGGCGGTGGTAGAGAATTCATACACAGAGCTAGGGGAAGAAAATAATTAGCATAGTCTATAGAAAACGGAAGTGAGAGTAACCCTCTCTGATTGACGGCTAACTTAATTCAGACTTGATCTCGACATCGAACTTGCAGAATGGTCGTCTCCCGCTGATGTACCATATAGGATGGACGATGACATTTGTTGCACTCAAATATTGTTATCGCTTATAATTCACTTCATTTGCCCGCCACTTGTGGTGGTATGATGTTACAGTATACTTAACAATGTGGGTTCGAATCCTAGTTGACACAGAAGTTTTTGCATGCCAGTACATTAATGCATATACTGTTATCACAATTCATAATTCATAATATTAAACCATCACGCGACCTTACTGTGTCGACCTCAGCAATTCTTGCAGTCGATTCGTTTACTCGCATTTATTGCTCACAAAGGTCACCGAGCATTTGGTGTGCCGTTTCGGCTGCTGCTTGAGGATTTCATTTTTTATGAGCGTCGGAATGCTGGCAGATTCGATTCTCCTTTCATTATTCGAGACAGCTAAGCCAAGATGATTTTACTTGGATTGCAAGAAACGTCGAGGAAGGAGATCGTTATGAAAGGGAATCAAACTATAACTGGTGTTGCATGGAACCAACCGATTTTAAATTGGAAAAAGACCCCGAATACTGTGAACAGTTGGCGGTATGACGTCTGACATGCCTTAATAAAGCATTTACACTCTGAACTAAATTGGCAATCTCGAGATTCCATTAATACATTCAAAAAGTTGGTGCAAAGTTCAGTAACTAGTCAACTTTTTTTGAAACGTTATTTGCAAGAAATGAACACAATTATAAAAGGAGCATTATGGTTTTTTAAAAGTAACATTAACTAAGAATATTGTTAGAATTACGTAATGAGATCTGTAATTATGTTGATACAGGATGAGCAGTCTAAGGGAGAAATGTCCTGTAGGAAGAAACTGTTCACCTTGATTTCGTCATAAGAGATTACTAAAAATAATACATTAGTATTTTTATATCAACTTCTTCCAAATAATAGTATATTCTTGCATTTGCAAAGTTATTACGGACCAAACACTGATATTAAAAGTACATAGTTTCAATATCTCATACACGTTAGTTTTCGCTCAAAAGTTCAAACTTCTTTTCAATTGCCTTAAAATTCCATGGATAAGAGCGGTTTAACTTTGAGAAAAAAGCGTTTTTCTTTATTTTGAACGCCAGACATTAACGAAAGTAACAATAGCTTAACTTCTATTTTCAACTTGTACCTCGTCATTATCGTTCGTTTGCATGCCAACAAAATCGTTTTCAACCGAGATTATCAACATCACATAGTGCTTTTTCAGAGGCATGAGAAATAGTGTTAGAAAAGATGGAATAAAAATTACTAAGAATTAGAAATAAAAAGAAGAACAAGAAAGAAGAATAAGAGAAAATAAAATTTGCTAGAGTTTGCTAAATTAACAGAACCATCAAAAAAATGTGGAAACTTTGTGGGCTAATATTACTGTTGTCTACTATTTTCCAGTACAGACCGCTCTTATCTATTTAGACTGACTTTATTTTTTTTAGATTTTACATTAATTTAATTTGATTTAGTTTTAGAGTAGCTAATTTTGGTTAATCTTCTCGTTGGTATTCATTACGTATATTAATCTTTTTTTCACGAGATTTCACCTACGCAAAACTCTTATGCCGCACTGATTTATTCAGACGCGCAAATGAACTCATCCAATGTAAATCAGGACATTCAAGAGACCATTCTCTCTGGATGGTAAATTCAAACAAAAAAAAAGGATCAATTTTCTTCTAATTGCACTTGGAACCAATGTCTTGCTGAAAGTAACTTCTGTTATCAATAGAGTACAGTTTCTCCCACGATTATGCCATGTCTATTTCAATGGAATGAATTTCTTGCATATGTTCTAAAGATTCCATTACCCATAATCAAAGTTCCACTTCAGTTTTCATTTTGGGGCACGTGTAGCGCAGTGGATAGGGATGTTCTGCAACGCTGATCTGCAGTTCCATTCTAGAACTCAGGTACTTCTTCTCATTTTTTAGAGGTTCAAAAATTACTAAAAAATTGTCTGGAAAAAAAGAAATTAAATTGATTCATTGTTATGCATTTGTGAGTCACTTTCTAGGTCAAATATACATTCGATCTTGAAGAAATGCAATGTATGGATACATCCCTCAAGGATCGATATGCATCGAGTGCTTTATGCTTCACCCTTCAAACATAAGCCTATTTCTACGAATTCAAACTTGGGCCTGTGCAGTGCAAACGACTGTAATCATCAATGATATGCGATCGAGAAAGTGTGAATATACGCACAATGCTGCGGTAGTTTGGAAAATTTTGCTTTGGCAAAATCCATCTCGAAACTAGGAAAAGTTCTGGATCCATGGCATCGACTGTTTTTAAAACCTGTGAATAAAGATTCAATCTAATTTTTAAGAATGTTTGAAGCCATACACGAGGTTGGTACGCCATGGTCATACACGTTTATCGGAGGTCTCGCCATTCTTGTCAATGACCCACGCCCCACATTAGATTGAATGTTTATTGCGAAGTTTCAACAACAATCGATGACATGAATCAATTTTGTTGTACCAGCCGAGATCCATCGACTGAGAAGTGGTGATGGCACAGTATCATTGTACATTGTGCCGTCACCACATTCGCCTTACTACTTGCTACAATGTAAGTTTTGATGTGGGGGCGTGGGTCACTGACGAAGAGGGCGAGACCTCCGAAACACGCGTGTATGACCGTGGCGTATTAACCTCGGGTGAGGCTTTAAACATTCTAAAAAATTTCTGGATGTTCTTTTGCCATCAAAAATCTTAAGTCGAAAAATTTGTTGGAGACAAATAGGTCCACATCTGTCAGAGAACTTACAGGAGTCGGGAGAAATTTGGAAAGTTGAAAGGATCTGACAACGATCGCCAAACGAATTAAATGGTAATCAAGGAGAGCGCCGCTCTGGAGTATTGTCAACGCTTCTTTTGCGATTTCTGTCTTGCGTCTAACGAAATTATTGTAACGTTCAATGACAAATGAATTGTCTACAACAGGCGGAAACAATTTCTCCAAAGGATGCACAGCATTGAAGCCTCACATAACTTCTCAGGACCGAAATTGCACAAAAAACTATGCAGACCATTCAGTGGTTTTCTGCTGGCTTAATCGACTATAGCTTTTCAAATCCCTTTGAAAGGATAATGGCGAAGAGTGCGTTTGGCAAACTGACGAAAAGCACTACAACATTGAACTGCTACGCTCTACATGGGCTCCTGCTCAAGAGACCAATCCTCCTCCATAACGCCCAGAGATGTTTCTACTACTGACGCTCTAATGCAAGAGTAAAAATGCCACGAAACTCTACCTCTCCCACATAACTGCCAATTTCTCACCTACCGAATACCACTTTGTCAAGCATTTCAACGACTTCCTAAAGGGAAACTATTTCAGAAACTCAGCCGCGGTCAAAATCTGCATCAATGACTTATGAAACATTAGAAACAAAAAAACATACTGAAACCGATATCGATATATTTGCTTTTCGCAGCAGAAAACTGCAAATTGATATGGCTTCCAACTTTGTAATGAAATTTATTTCGAACACAGAGATTCCACATTAGAAATTCAATTTGAGACCAACATAGATTCTCGGAGAAACGCGTATTTTCTAAAAATGATGAACTTCTCAAGCCTACATTGACAAATGCGATCATGTATGTCGAAGAACTGTTCGATATCTTTCTTAATCTGCCAATAAATTCCAACCTAAATCTATAATATGATGTAGTGGTAGGCAAAGCATAGTTGAGAATGTGAAGTTATTTTTCGGACTGGAAACTCAACAGCAAGCTCTCCTACAAATTATCAAATTCCGTCTCGACATGAGTGAAGATTGGGTGAATTCTCTGAGGGATGAGTACAGTGAACTTTTAATTGCTAGACAATTGTACTATTCCATTAGAAACGATAGAGTAGTAAACACTTAGGTTAGCTGTACTTTACGACATTGTGACCACATAAGAGTGTACAAAAATGGAAAGCGCTTTTCTCCAATAAAGTAGCGACATAGGGTGGGTACTTTGCGCGACCCACATCGGTAATGAATTTGAAATCTGAATTCTGATTTTTCAGTAGGAATGTGAAGCATTAACGCCGAATTCTTGAGGCCTTTTAGATGATTTTGAGAAGCCATCAAATCAATCGAAAACTTGAGTTCCTCAACGGCACAGGCGATTTGGAGCTCTAACTTCAGATAAATCGGTAAAATTAAGTGAAGTT